GTCCCTCGTGAATGTTTGCTTAGCGATGACCATCAATAAGTCGCAGAGGCAGACACTGAGGGCAGCGAGTGTCGACCTCAGGACGTACGTCGCTTGCTCCCGCGTCACCAGTCCTGACTCTCTTTGCATTTTGGCTGTGGAAAGCCAAACCACTAATGTTGTTTATCGAGAAGTCCTATAAGTATGTATTTTTACCCAAAAAAATAAGGAATAATGACGCAACCGCGTAATGCTTGCCAGAAAGGTACTTTTTTTTAATGAAATGAAATGAAAAGTCATTTATTCAGTCTAGGCTGTTACAAGCACTTGTGAAGGTCAAGAAGCTACGCCATCGGTTCGCAAAACTACGGCGGGAGACCTTGTACTGAGAAGGACCGGCAAGAAACTCAGCAAGGGCTGTTCTTTTCTCCCTGTATTGTTATATACAGTGTCGTCAAGTTGAAATATGATTTCAGAAATACGTCTGAAGTCACTTTCCATTACATCGTTTAGAATATAAATATATAGTTACAATTAATTTTATAGTAAACATTATATTTAGTATATAGGAAGCGGCATTAGATAGGTACAATATTACTGTTATGAAAAATGACTAATACCCATTTAATAACAAATTATAAGAAACACTATGTCCATGCATTACGATCATTTAGATAATCATCAACTTTATAATAGCCCTTATTCATAAGAGTATTTTTGATCTGAGATTTAAATTTAGTCAGTGGAAGCTCAATCAGATCTAGGGGAACTTTATTAAACAATGCAATACTACAACCCAGAGATGAACCTCTTGATTTTTGGAGTCTGAAACATGGAACGGCAAGCTTGTTCTTAAATCTCGTGTTAAAGTTATGGGTTTGACTTTTTTTGCAAATTCATCATTGTTTTTTCTTACATATATTAAATTTTCATAAATGTATTGCGACGCCAGTGTTAAAATATTAATTTCTTTAAAATTTTCTCTAAGGGATTCTCTTGCCTTTAAATTGTATATGGCGCGAACAGCTCTCTTTTGCAGTATGAAAATACTTTCGATATTAGCGGCTGAGCCCCACAACAAAATGCCATATGACATTACACTATGAAAGTAACCAAAGTAAACTAATCTTGCCGTTTCCACATCAGTTAAGAGTTAATGAAACTACAAGCATCAGCCACAGACAAAAGATTTTTATTCATAGAGCACACACCCTTATGGTTGTCACACAATGACACATTAACTAATCTCTCTAATTACTATTATTTTGATATATAATAAAAATAACACACTCCCTTATCAAAATAATCTATATACAGAAATAAGCAAAAAAAATATTGATGAAACACAAGGCCAAAGATAGATTTACAATGGAGTAACACCTAGTTGTTCAACAAAATTATTATGTTTTTGGTACCTAACTTAAACTTTTTGTTAGTACATCTGCAGGCATATCATTTGTATTTAAATACTTTATTTTAACAATATTATTTTCAACTGCTGTTCTGACAAAATGAAATCTAACATAAATATGATTGCTTCTTTTATGGAATAAACAATGTTTAGTCAACAACTGTGCACTCTGATTGTCATTGTATAACAGTACAGGTGACTCATTTCTACATTTCAACTCTAATAATAGGTTTCTTAAGTAAATAGCTTCTTTACTTGCCTCACACATAGCCATATACTCCGCTTCTGTGCTAGACAAACCTATTGTTACTTGCTTTTTACATTCAAATGCAATTACACTACCAGACAATTTAAACATATATCCTGTGTAAGACTTACGGTCCACACAATCTGATGCCCAATCGGCATCGGCAAAACCTATCAAGTCTAAATCATCTTTAACATATTTTAATCCAAAATGTTTGGTTTTTTGTAAGTACCTTAATATACGTTTGACATGTTTCCAATATATATCGTTATAATTGCTATTAAATTGGCTAAAATAACAAACAGCATAATATATATCAGGACGGGTTAACATAGATAAACATAGCAAACTTCCTATTAACTGCTGGTAAGGATACTGAGTAGAACAAGTATCTACCTTTTTGAGCTTTAAATTTACTTCCATAGGTGTATTGACTGGTTTACAATTTTTCATATTAAACTTATTTAACAATTAATGATCAACAAATAATTCATGGTCTATAATCATTTCATTATTATTTTTTCTAATTTTTTCTACTTTTGTAAATACCCGGTGTGGCCCAATCACTAAATTTCTTTTTAAAGCTATGGCATTTAATAAGTTTGCGTTTGAATATTATATCAAATTCATCATTAATTAAATTGAATAAATCTTCATACAAAATATTATTATTATTACAAACTGGTAAGTACGATATTTTGTGATAAACACTATCTTGAAAATTATTTATACCCGTTTGTGTAATTGGTCTACAAGTTAGGTCATGTTTGGGTGAAGCATGATGGTGTTCAATAGAGGCTAATTGTCCGCTATGATCAGATTTAATACAATTATTATTGATTTATTAAAAACATTTCTATTACAAAAAATATTATCTAAACATGTCGCTGATGCATGTGTGATGTGTGTAGGCTCAAAGTAGGTATGCTCCAAGTTATATGATTTAAATAAGTTTAGAAACCTACTCACTAATGGACACTTAACTAAAATGTTTATATTAAAATCACCACACACAACAACTACTTTATTACATCTACATACTATATTGAAAGCATCTTCCATAGCGGACTCAAATTGAGAGTAATTCCCAGATGGGGGACGATATACACATATTATGATCATTTCTTCAAGTTCCACACAAGATATTTCAATATTACGTTCAACTGAAAGTGTAACAATATCTGTACGTTCTTTGTATTTAAGATTGTTCTGTAAGATTATGAGAGAGCCTCCCCTATAGTCGATTTCCTACAGAAACTACTAACAACTGTATAATTATCTAAGCCTGTAACTAATTCATAATCTCTGAGCCAGTGCTCTGTAATACATAAAATGTTTATATTCATTGTATTTAAAAATAAGCATGATTCTAAGTCTTTACCAGAAAAGCCTTGTATATTTTGGTGAACAATATTTAGATATTTAGACTTTTCCTTGGTCATGACATAGCTAGAGAGCTCCTCTGTTGTCTTACGAACTAATTTAAATTACAATTAATGTCAGTATTTGGAACAAATTCTAAAGTCTGATCCACATAATTATGCTGCTCAATAGAAGCAGTAGTGATAGCCAAGTTTTTGGTGTGTGTAAAATAAAATAATAGCGAAAAGCTATTTGTCTCTTATTGTAATATGAAGGATAATATTTATCTCTTGTCATTTTAAAATTATATATTAATTTATTTATATCAATTAAATGTACTTTTTGACCACTATACTGAGACATGGTACTTAATGTCAAATTTAGCCTGTACCTAATATTATTTTCTTCACTTGATAGACTCTTACTATAAGGAAATGTATACGTAACTATTCTATTTACATTTAAGGAACACAAAGAGTTATAGTAAGTCATAATGTCATTTTTTCCAACATTACCTCTATTACCAATTAAAATAATTAAAGTTGTATTTTTGTCAAGTTCAAGAGTTAATATTTTCTTCATTAATTGGTGCATTGTGACACCTGGCAAACAATAATTAATTGTACTTTCAACCAGCTGTTTTTGTAGTAAGCAACCCAGATCTTTACCAAATTCGTCACATAACATTATATACTTATGAAAGTTTCTCTGCTTAAAATAATTACAACTAATTGTGGTCTCTGAGTGAACAGATTTATTAATTAAGGACTCACATACTGGATCAGTGTCATTTTGTTCATTAATGCTCTGATTCGATACCAAAGAGTGACACTTTACAGGTGTGTCTTCGTGAAGGGAGGTGTTAGATAGACACTTTAAGGCCAGAATGTATTCTTCTATCTGTTTTTTTGAGTTATTATAATTCTGCGTCATTTGAGATAATGATTGTTGAAGGGTTTTTAACTTAATATTCAATGAATCCATATTTTGTTCATACGTTAATCTATTTTTTTCAATAATGGAACGGCAAGTATCTAACTTTTGTAGTAACTGTGTACGTTCTTTAACAAACTCAATATTTCTGTAAAATGTTTTTTCTTTATTTATAAGTTTCTTAGTTTTTAAAATATACCTTCTGACCCTAACATATCTTTTTAATTTGTTCTTACTAAGATTAACAAGACCTTTCCCGGGAGAACACTGAAATGAACTGTCAGAATTGAAATCATTTACAAGAGTGTTAGTGTTACATTTAGAATTGATGGGCTGCTGGCACTGCATCAGAGGTCCTCCAGGTAATGCCATCAGTTCCTCAAAAAGACTTTGAGTATGTATATAATAGATACTAAAACATCATTTTAAAATAATGTTGATTTGCGGGAAACTGGTTAGTCAGATAATTCAGTAGTTCTTTTACTATAAAGTCTGACAAAAGACAACACCTAATGTAAAGTTTGAGTATAAATAGTTCTGTTGGGAATATTACAAATGCGGTAGAAATAACTATCTACCTGGTTTAAATAGCATTTGATTATAAAAATATGACGTAATATATACCATGGCTCTCGAAGTTCCGCTGTCGAGGCTGCTCTGCGAGGATATCGAGGGATTGCTAGTGAGGTGCGCTTGCGGAAAGGAGCTGACGGTTATAAATGTACGACGTTATACGTACCGTGGCTCTCGACATGCTGCTGTCGAAGCTGCTCTGCGAGGATATCGAGGGAGTGCGTACGAGGCGCGCATGCGGCAAGGAACTGACGGGTATAAATGTGTGATACGTACCGTGGCTCTCGAAGTGCCGCTGTCGAGAATGCTCTGCGAGGATATCGAGGGAGTGCGTATGAGGCGCGCATGCGGCAAGGAACTGGCGGGTATAAATGTGTGATACGTACCGTGGCTCTCGACATGCTGCTGTCGAGGCTGCTCTGCGAGGATATCGGGGAGTGCGTACGAGGCGCGCATGCGGCAAGGAACTGGCGGGTATAAATGTGTGATACGTACCGTGGCTCTCGACGTGCCGCTGTCGAGACTGCTCTGCGAGGATATCGAGGGCGTGCGAGCAAGGCGCGCGTGCGGCAAGGAACTGGCGGTCCGCGTCTCACAACTAGCAGGCTGCACTCTGCACTGCTCCTTCGGTATCAGCATCTCCTGCAACAACGGTTAATAATAATAAATGTTTTTAAAAAGATGGAATATAAGCGTATTACTATGGCACGTGAAATGAAATATGGCTATCGTAACTTGATGATAATTGAAATACAAAGTGCGCCACCCTTTTTTTTTTGTTAAAGTTTAAAAGATAAAATTAATATTCCGTAATATTATTAGGGGAGCCCAATCGGGGATATTGAGAGTTACTTGAGCGCGGTAAAACCACAGAATATATACACTACGCGAAAAGAAGCGACACTTAAGCATGTGTGCTCGTAAAATCGCCCGCGGCTATGTGTGGGTGTCTGGAGGTGCGCGGGGGCGTTGCGCGGCGCGCGGGACGTGGAGAGGGCAGTCGCCGACTGCCTCGACCGAAGGCATGGCAGTAGTGAAATAGTAAAATAATAGCGTTGCACTGCATTGCACGCACAGACTGACTACGCTTCGCAATCTTATTATTATTTAGATAGTAATAATAATTATAAAACGAATCTAAAAAGGAGAAAATATATAAAATATAGCAATTTGTTATAATGCCTTCATTAAATGACATTGATTATAAAATCAAACCTATCCTTCATTATTTACCCCAGTATCCTTGAATCAGTTTACATTTAATAACTTACTATGCATAAATATTCATTGGCACAAGTCTAAATTCCAAGTTCAACCCTAGCGCATACACGCTCCTGCTCAAGGTCACTGACGCTGGAACTCTCACGTACAGAGAGTGTCACCGCTGTGGTAAAACAACAAAAGTGGGGCAAACTTTTGCACCGTGTGAAGAACTCTCAAAATACCTAAGCCCTTTGTTTAAAAAAATCAACCATGACTTTTGTCATGACGTGAGATTTTTGAAAAACAAGTACTGGACGGTTCACGTCACATCCCGTCTCTAAGTCTGACGTTTTCGGATATTTTTTCCTATTTTGTTCTTCTTCGTACGGCCACCCATTCCTACACCATGAAAACTGGCATATTATTATTTTTCCGTCAATAAAAATGCGACGTAAAGTCATGACCCTATTTACATTGTTTTTGCTGCCCTAGAAGTTTGACCCTTTATAAAGGACTCAGGCAGGGTGGTAGTACTTCATAAGATGCAAGGTTCCAGCTCCATATGGCATATAACAATTTTAGCCTGCAGATGATTGCAAGGTGTTTACTGATTCTAACCAATATGAAGATACTTGGTTAGACTTTTACTCTCTTATTATTAGCCGAAGAGTAACCATTGAAAAGTTACACAGTCTATCGTTAACATCACTTAAAAGGCAATGATTTGTATAGTCATATAGGTACACGATCAAAAAGTTTAGGTACGTGAGACTGAAATAATTATAATATTAAGCAATCAGGAAAAGCGCTGAGTAAATGTTCAACCAACATTTGCAGTCTATGCTTCGAAATACCGAAAGCGGATCTATTAAATGCACATTCAATAAAACGTTTATTCAATGTGCATTTAATAGGTTCAGTAATATGAATGGGAGGTGCGTCGGTAAGCTGCAAAGAGCACCCCACTAGAGATCGCACTATTCAAGTGTGACATCATGGTCGGTCGGATGACAAATTTGGTGAAACGTATTGCTGTTGGTTGACATCTGGAAACGTCACACACATATAGAATAGAATACAATTTTATTCATGTACATGTGTTACAGTATACCTTGGTTGGCAATAAACCTTCTTAAGCTATTTTTAACTAGTACTAGTTTCCTAAGAAAGCATAAGTTTAAATCTAAAGAAAACAAAAACAAAATAAAAAATATTTTTGTCCGTGTTTCCCCAGACTTAAAACATACAGCAAACATACATAAATATGTTGTAATACTGCCTAGGCATGGCATAAGTGGATGCCCTTTAATTACATGCACGCCTAGATAGAGCAATCCATATAAACCACGCAAAGAAAATGTTACGCGCAATGTGTAAGTGAGTCTAATGTCAGATTGTTTGAAAGCAGTCAATATGTGCGTGTGTAGCGACGAGATTATCCAGCATATGTAGTAGCTATTTTTTGGGGCGCTTCTGTGCAGTTTATACGGTCTATAATAAACTTTGGCGTGTTTATAATAAAAGCGGGTGCTCTGTGGTAAGCTGCAGGCTCCATCGCGCGCCGTAAATCCCACGATTTTCTTCTTGTCTATATTCTTAGTGAGCCTTCCCCTTGTTCACACTTTGTATTGTGTTTAAAATGAGTATACTGTAATTGAACAATTTAAAATAAAAGAGTTTCTTAAGTGTCATTGAATTTTCAGAATAATTTAATTACCTTGTTGTGTTCTTTCATTACAATTTATACTTTATCCACTACGGACGAAACGAAAGAAACACCGCAGATTCAGGAACCATCACAGAAAATAATCTTGCAACCTTATACTTTTCTTTACGTAACTACTTTCATTAATGTTCTAGCATAGTTTGGCCCCATGTTGTTCTTCAGAAATAATATTAATATTAAATCAGCCCATTGCTACACTATTTTCAGAAACTGTCCTTATAGCACATATTTTCGAAATAAGTTTGTTGCACCCAAAACATGGGGTGTTATTGTTCTTGAGAATTGGCAAAATTGTACATCATAAATATTTCATACTACGAGTAATGGCTACATTTATTATGAATGTGACGTAGACACTACGGCGTAGACTGGCTCGTAGAGGCCACGAGGCGTAATGAATAATTCTTTGTCTACAACATTTTTATTCATTCACACTCTCGCGGTTGAGTGCACTTAGCCGTAAAATTTAGAAATTGGATTTAATGCTACTGAGAAGTTCACGAAGTAGGATAGTAGGTACCTTTTGACTGTGTTTTTTTAAATGTTAAAAGTGTGGCAAACAAGTTTGTGGCCCGTTTGATGGTAAGCGGACACATAGCCTATAGTAAGATGCTTGCGATACCAAAAATATCACTTGCAACGTTGCCTATCCCCTATCACGTAGAGCCCTGAAACCTTACTCACCGACAGAAACACAACACCATCAAAGGGTAGTGTCATTTTACTGGGATCTTCTGAAAGGCGGAGGTTACTTCTCCAGACGGGCGTTGGGGAATACTAAACGGTTAATATTAGAAGACGATCAACTGTTGGGTTGACACCATTTCTAACAAAATATACATTCATACAAAATGTCATTGAAATCCGTTTAAACTGTAGTAGTTGAACTGTTTCGAAGTTGCAGAGTAACAAATAAACGCAACACACACTCACATTTATGTGTAACTAGTTGTGCCCCGCAGTGCTACCCACGGTTTATTGGAATAAGATATTTTTCCGCAGTAAAAGGTAGTGTTAATCGAAGGCGTCAGCTAACTCCATACCAAATTTTATTAAAATCGCTCCAGCCGTTTAGACGTGGCGAAGTAACAAACACACACTCACAAACTTTCGCCTTTATAATATTAGTGTGATAATTGATATTGATATGCTGGTCACATTAGCCGCAGAACTGACGGCCGATGGAGCCGTAAAGTTCTTGAGTGGAGACCGCGACTCGGTAAACGTAGTGTGGGACGCCCTGAGACAAGATGGGATGATGACATTCGTCGGCTGGCTGGAGTGGGCTGGATGAGAGTGGCAGAAAATCGGGAGCAGTGGCGTGCATTAGGAGAGACCTATGTCCAGCAGTGGACGAGCATGGGTCGATGATGATGAATTGATATTGAATTAAGATTTATTATTATTATTTATTTACATTGATTATAATATTTTTGATTTAACTGTGAACATGTGTGAACAACACGAAGTATAAATATATATATATATATATATATCTAACTAAAATTATTTATATTTAAAACAATAAAAAAAGGGTAGTGTACAGAGGACTTTCCGCTCGAATCACTCCTGTTATAGGGAAGTTACATGTACCGTACAGAAACTGCAGCCTAATAAACAACCTTCTCCTGGTGCAGACGGTTAAAAACCTGGGGATTTTGGAATATAGAGAATCACTATCAGGCGATAAGCGCAAAATTTGATAATTATCAAGAATTGTATTCACGTAAATTACAGTAGGGAACACGAGAACGTACGGGCCATAATTCCTAGATGCACCATCAGGTGATAGTAGGAATTTCGAAATTGCAATGTCAACCATCGGGTTGACCATTCTGAGGCAAATGCATCCAAATGCATCGGCATTTGGATGCATTTGCCTCAGAATGCAGTTGAATTTTTTCACCACAAACGATGGTCGCTAGCCTCCTGGCATGCTTCTAGATAAGGTCTAGGCATGAATCTCTACAAAAGACTCTCAGGTGTTGCAGAAAGGTAAGAAGATAAACGCGGCAGAGCTAACGAGCCCCTTAGCGCGCAACATAGTAACGTAACGTCGACCTTAAGGCTAGCGTCAGCGTCTAAATAACAATCTACCGTACCTGAGCAAGGCTTACCTGCGCTCAGACGGTCAGACCTCTGCTAAAAATATTACTTCATCTTAAAACCTTTGTGACCTCTACTCAGCTCATAAGACCTTTTCCTTGTATGCGTATGTGTTCATGTGTCGCATACGTACACGAGTGTGACGTCGGTCAAGATGACTGAACATGGGGTGAACAATCTACCGTACCTGAGCAAGGCTTACCTGCGCTCAGACGGTCAGACCTCTGCTAAAAATATTACTTCATCTTAAAACCTTTGTGAACTCTACTCTGCTCATAAGTCGTTTTCCTTGTATGCGTATGTGTGCGTGTGTTCATGTGTCGCATACGTACACGAGTGTGACGTCGGTCTTACGCGATCTCCGTATACTGTAATGTGCAGCGATGCCCGAGACGCACCAATGTTATGTGAAGGATAAACATTACGCAACCTCTGTCGGCCGGGTCACCGTCCTGTTCAGACGGCGAGAATAAGGCAGCAAGTGACACGTTGGTGAAAACCTCTGTCACGTCTCTTATTCTGTGACCATGGCAACCGAACACGTTATCTCGGGATTTACAATAACTACCAGGGCTAGTTGGTACGTGAATTCCAGTGTAATTATTAC